ACATTTCCTGTCTGGCGATTTTTTTTTTTTTACAGCCTGCCAAAATGAGCATATTTCAAACTGGTGGGTCACAAGGCGGTGCTAGGGGGACCACATTAAAATTCTAAAATGTATCAAATTCTACAAATTATTGAATAAATTACAAAAATTCGAATGTTTTTTGGAGAGGGTAAATGAGGACTAATACAAACTTGATCATTATGAAATATGTATGTAACATATTTTCCGGAAAACAAGTCGCACCTCCTTTCCGCTTGTTTGCACCAGTCAAAATCACATTGTTGTTGGGAAAAAAAGGCAAGTTACACTGGTGTATAAGTGACACACACACACACACACACACACATATATATATATATATATATATATATAAATAAATAAATGAATGTATGTACTTTTTGTTTTGCAATTAATTTTCATGGCATTCAAGCACACGTCCCCTTTCAAATGCTTAAAAAAAAAATAATTACAATTAGCATAAGTTAATTAAATCTTGTCTGGAAAATTACATTTTTAAATCAAATAAATTCATTTTTAAAAGTAAATTTAGCACTATAAATAAAAGAACAAATAAATGAATGAATGAATCAAAGTGACTTATAAATATTTTGCATCACAATGGTAAATAATTTACATAGACCACCAACGTGCAGGCGTTTGCATTCAGAGTTCAGATGTTTTTGATCTGCTTTCGTGTTTTTTTTCCAGTCTCCTGATGTTTAGTCTCCAGCTGATTTCCGCATCAGCCGTGGGCTAAAATAGACACCGCATCAAAACTATGTACTCCCTGCCGCTTCTGGAGTGTGACACCTTGTGGTTCTCCTGTTTAAAAAGGGTGCTTAAATGAAAACGAACTGCTCATGCCCTGCTCACACACTATATGTGAAAACAGACCTATACACAAGTGTCTCTGAACTGAGACATCAGTACACATTGCTACACACTGATGGAACGCTTGAGAGCATTTAAGCTGCTTTTAGATAGAAGAAGAGCGAGTTAACAGGTGGAATATAATGTATTTATACCCTGAACGCAAAGATTGTGCTAGTCAACTATTAGTCATTCATTTAAGCCATTAGTCAATTAATCGCTCATTTATGATATCAATTTAATGTGACATATTTACCGCTCTGCGCTTTCAGGTCAGAAGAGCAAATACAAGAAGATACAACTTCACATGCCTTACCAAAGTCTAACAAGCAGAAACTGTTTTGAATAGAATTTGACGTGCGAGTAAAAAGGTATCTGTCCTACAGCTTTTCTCTGGTTTACTAGTGTTAAGGATGCAAATATAGCAATTAAAAGTGAACGAAAGGAAGAAATCTTTCTAATCCAGTGCAACAATGAGAGATGTGAGTGAAGATTTGAGAAAAGAAAGAAGCGATTCCAAGTGCAGTGGAATAACTCATGGAAGAATTTTTCTTTTGAAAAATAGAGTGACCAGATCGCAAAACAATACAAAGCCCACATATGGCTTACATATTTATGGCTTACTCATGTAGCTCTCTCTTTTGACACGAAACCAGATGTTTCCATGGTTGTGATGTAACATTTAGGCTTCATTATATTAAAACAAAACTAAATAGCAGCTGTGGTAACGATGTGTCAGTTACAGACTGCATGACTTCTCTATATTCTGTTGAGTGTTTTTTTTTTTTTGCAACCGACTAATTAAAAATTTGGTCGATTGAGTCTCTTGTCGACTGACGTTTAGGTGACTGTTAGGTGGAAACCTCCTGAACACTGATAGAGTGTCATTAAGTTCATCATCAGGGTTCTATAAACTAGCCTTTTGGAAAACATTTATTGAATTTCATGACTTTTAAGTGTTGTTTTTTTCTTCTTGTTTATGAAGGTGATGAAATTGAATTGAAGGCTGAATCCTCCCAGGTGCTGGATGATGACGATGATCCAGAGAATAGGTTTGATTTTACAAGTAACATGCTGTGAATTGTTTTTGTCTGTTTGATCTCAAGATGTCCCCCGTCTGTGGGTTTTACAAACATTTAAGCAAAGAAAAATATTAAAAAAGCTAAACCTTGTAACTCCATTGAATCCTCTTAACTGTGGAACCTCATAAAACTCATAAATCCTCTCAACCTCGCAGCTTCCCCCTGCCTCAGTCTTGTTTCTGATTCTGATAATCAAAGTAGTTACCTTCATGAAAATGTCTCAGAGTGGACAGTCACAAGTTTAAGTAACAAGATGATGTATTCTGGGCTTCTGGCCTAATTTTGTTTCTGTCTGTTCTAAAAGAATTGCCAAGAGGATGCTTCTGGCGCAGATCAAAGCCAACTATTCCTCTGGAGCTGACAGTTCATCTGATGATGAAAACGCAGACAAAGAGGACGGGGATTCACCAAAGAAAGGAAAAGATGGTGCTAAGAAGCAAGACGAAAGTGGTGAGAGTTAGTTCAGATAGGACTGGGCGATATGGCCAAATCATATCTCTGCATTTTTTTCTCGCTGAATTGCGATATGTGGCATATATCTCTGTATTTCTACTTTTTTTCTATTTGGATTAAAGAAAAAAATCTCTTTTCTTCTTCCTCTTCTTTCACATCCTACCCAATGTTGTCCAACAAAACAATGTCTATAAATAAAGTCTATGAAAACCAAATAAAGTGAATGTAAACATGTAGACTATGCTAAATGTAATGTGCGAAAAGGGTTAAAATCACATTACATTATAATATTGTAACATGATCTAAAAACAAATAAATTCACTCAATTAAAAACGAAAGGCACAAACTAATTGCATTAGGCTATTTTGATTACCTCATTTGTCAATTTACAGTGCTATCATAAAAAATACTCTTGTAGGTTTAAAATTCTACATGACACATTTATTGTCTAACTACAAATATTTTAGCAAAATGTATTTTAGTCAGAATTATTGCGCTCCGTCTGTTTGGCGTGCATGAGCGCGGTGGCGCTTGTTCGCTTAAGTCTGTGAAGTTTAGTGGAGAATCACTTGCAGAAGGCTCATCTGCTCCTGACAGCAAAATGGAAATATTTCCATGACTTGCTAACATTTACAGCTGGAGAATATACCTGTGAAATGTAAGTTATGCACCGAGGAAAACAGCACATCTTAAACACACTAAACAGCGCAAGTAGCGTCTCTGTCAGCAGCACATGTATGTCAGCATCTGACGGGGCAACCGCTTTAAACTATACGTGTTAACTGTATCTTACCAGTTATTTTAAAGCCATGAATATAAGCATGTCTCATGTTTAGGACAAACTAGATTATGCACTTTCCCCAGAAAGCTCATTCTGTGTCCTCTGATATTTTCCAGTTACGCTTGTGTCAAACTACTTTACAAACTACTTCCATATCGTTTATAAAAAAAAAATCGATATATCATACAAACTTTATATGCCATCCAGCCCTAAGTTCAGATTTAATCCAGTTTAATGCAGAAGTGTTCTTGTCATGAATAATGCATTGATGTTTCCTGCAGAGGAAGAGGATGAAACTTCAGACTCGTGCTCAGATGTGGACGTGAAGAAAGGTGGACGCAGGCACCGTTTGTTGAGGAAGAAGTTGACTCTAAGCGAGGGAGACTCTGATGACGAGACCCCAGTTAAAAAAAAGAAAGAAACCAAAAAGAGAAGCAGGCGGAAAGGTCGGTGTCAAGTCTAAACAAAAGCCACACATGCGATTCCACTGAATGAGCTGAAGTGTTTACTGGATTTGTTGATGTGTGTTTGTGTAGTGGGCAGCGATGATTCGGCAGACTCTGACTTTGAGCAGTCGCGCTCGGGCTCCAGTGATGCATCAGCGCTCAGTGAGACCGTGAGTGAAGACGACGATGAAGACAAGAGCAGTAAACGCAAAACACGGTAAGGATAGCACCAGTTTGTTCATTCAAGTTTATTAACTTTGAAATGACATTTTAGTGCAGACTTACAGATTTAATTAGAAAGAATTTGCATCCATTCGTTTTAAATGCTATTAGAAAACCATCCATTGTTCAAGCGATGGCATAGCTATCGACACATTGCTGTGTTGACTCCCAGAAGTCCCTGACACCTCAACTGTCACTTGACACTTGGGGCTTTGCGTTTAAAAAAAAAAAATTTTCAGATCTTATCGATTAATTTGAATATAATGTTTGTCTCGATTTAAATTTTTTTAAAATTGAGGAATCACAGTTTTGTATAAAAATATTATCAAATGTTACAATTAGACACACTGACAATTATTAACTACGATTAACTGCTCATGTGTAACACGCTTTATGAAGGACCGTAATGTAGAACATATTGCAAATCCTAAGCACAATGGGAAAAATAGAAATGGGAAAAACACAAGGTTATGAGATGCGAGTTGAACTTGAGCACCGTGTTTTTAGAATGCTGTTTCATACACGAGACCCTGTCAAACAGGTTTGCAACAGTCAAACACATCCGTAAAGTGCATGTTTACACAAAAAAACAATGGAAAAGGGGGCTTTGCGTTTAAAAAAATAAAATTTTCAGATCTTATCGATTAATTTGAATATAATGTTTGTCTCGATTTAATTTTTTTAAAATTGAGGAATCACAGTTTTGTATAAAAATATTATCAAATGTTACAATTAGACACACTGACAATTATTAACTACGATTAACTGCTCATGTGTAACACGCTTTATGAAGGACCGTAATGTAGAACATATTGCAAATCCTAAGCACAATGGGAAAAATAGAAATGGGAAAAACACAAGGTTATGAGATGCGAGTTGAACTTGAGCACCGTGTTTTTAGAATGCTGTTTCATACACGAGACCCTGTCAAACAGGTTTGCAACAGTCAAACACATCCGTAAAGTGCATGTTTACACAAAAAAACAATGGAAAAGCAAAAACCTGTAAAGAACTACTACTGTATGTTTGATATTTCTTGTTTGCATGATGGTGACAGGCTGAAATCTGCTATTTTCTGTGTTTTTACAAAACATTTACCAGTAATCATAGCCTACCACTGCTGTTATACTTGTAGTCATTAGGGCCTGAGCACCAATTGTGCAAGAACCCTCTTGGAATTGCTCTGTTTATTTTGAGTGAACACAATTTTTTTTAAACCTAAAGGGCACCTATTATGCCCCTTTTTACAATATGTAATATAAGTCTCAGGTGTGCCCAGAATGTGTCTGTGAAGTTTCAGCTCAAAATACCCCACAGATAATTTATTATATCATTTTGAAAATGCCTATTTTGAGTTGAAGCAGAAACACGCTGTTTTTGTGCCTGCATCTTTAAATGCAAATGAGCTGCTGCTTCCTTCCCCCTTTTCCACAATAGAGCTGCGCCATTACAACTTGTGCCTCAGATACTCTGCCAAAACAAAACATCTGTTTGGTTTTGATTATCATGTCTGTCGCGCTGAAATCATGCGTTTTAAAGCCATATCAGTTTAAACTTCTGATATAGTGTTTTCTGAGTGCACAGAAAGCATATGTCACATGGCATGTGAGCACTAAAATAAGTTCTCTTTCATGTCTTATTGCACTTAAACTCTCAAATACACACAAGTTTATGTTAGAAACACATATGTGTTACAAACACAGTCGGTTATGACTGTGAAGGTGAACAGCTGGGACAGAAATCGCATGTTTATATTAGATCTGTGTGGCTGCAGCCTAATATACAGTAATTAAATAAATCCACTGCTCTCTTGTCTCCTCTGAGGCTGGGATTCTAAATAGTGTTCTGTGCTCGTCTATGCTGCCAGAACAGTTAGCATGCTTTGCTCGAACTTTTTCCATGGCGTTAGAACTGGTACATTGTTTTAGCTTGCGAAGGCACAATGGTGGCGCCGTGGTTGGAAAAGTGCAGATTGAGGGGCAGTAATATTATAATAAGACAACCCTCTACACACACCTTGGCAATATAATCGCCATTGGCTAGTACATTTTTTTGTTTACTCGCCAGTCGGATATACTATTTTACACCCCTAACCCTACCCCTCACAGAAAACTTTCTGCATTTTTACAATTTCAAAATTAAAAAAAAAAACTTTGTTTACTTTATTTTTATAACAGTTTTACAAATGAGGACATCCACAAATTGAGGTTTTTGCCGATTTTGTCAGGTTTTGCTCACTTTTGGGTACAAATTTGTCCCCAAAATATGGTTAAGTAGGTACACACACACACATATGATTCCACCCAATCAGCTTATCTTTGTAAAATGGAACAGCTTCTTAAATAACTGAATGTGCACTCTTAACTTCAGCCAATCAAGCATTATATTATGATATTATGATAATTAAGCGCCACTGTTTGAGTGTTGTACAGAGAGACCGTGTGTGTGTGTGTGACACTCGCGCTCTCTCTTTCCTTATGCGTGTATGTTCACACACATCTTCGTACCTCACCGCTCCTTCTTCTTCTTATTTTTGTTCAATGGCCGTTCACTCCTTAGGAGTGATGAGGTGAGATATCCGCGCAGTGGAGAGCCGCTTTATAGTAGCAAATTAAGTTTTGCTTTTGATGAAATGAGACACTGACACTGTTTTTCATGTTTAATACTGCAGAGCTCGTGTAAGCATACCCATGATGCTATGAACAGATGCTTTTTTTTTTTTCTTTTTATAAAAAAATGCTTGCTGTTCTTTCCATTTTTGTTGTGTTTATTTTGTTACTGAGAGTAAAGCTTGCATAACATATTTACATATATAAACGTTGCTTTCATCAGAGTGGGCGGCGTCGGGATGTTCGATAACAGTATATCGCTGCTCAGTGCTCACATATTTCGAACTTCGTTTTACCCCTAAATGAAGAACGAAAAAGAACTTCGTTTTGAGTATATCGGGGCCTTAAGGGCGTTTCAATACAAGACATTTGTGCTGCGGCGATCTGGGCTTTGCCACACACTTGTGTCAGATTTTATAGGCTGGATGTTACAGAGCCTTGGTTGGCTCATTCCGTCCTAAGTGTGTAACAAAAACAAAAACAAACAAACGCTCATACAGAGGATGCTTTTGCTTTTCACATGTCTCCGATCTATTCTGTGAATAGTGGAGGGCTTGTGTTTTTATGTTATCATTATCACACATCACTGAGTTGATTGACATGCCTGCTTCGGACAGCATATCTGCAATACAGGAGTTGTTAATATCCCATAGTGAGATACCAAACGAATGTTTGAAAGAGAACTTTAGGTTACTTTTGTAACCCCGGTTCTCTGATAACAGGAGTGAGGTACAGTATCTCACCACAAATGAAATTTACTATATTTCCATCAACTTAGCACATGTTTTGTTTCTTATTTCTCGTTGTGGTGCAGTATTGAGCAAATAAACAACTGTCTCAGCCACACTCTGAAGTGATCTGACATGCAAAGCTTCTAGATTGGGATTAGCTGTATAGAGTTCATGTCTATGTTCTTCTGAAAGAACCCTCTATAACCCACAAATTCAAACTAGCAGTTTGTAGTCGGTAAGGTAGTTTTTTTTTTAAATTAATATTATTTTGAACTTTCTGTTCATCAAAGAATCCTGAAAAAAAAAATTATAAAGGTTTTCACAAAATATGAAGCAGCGTAACTGTTTTCAACTGATTATGATCAGAAATGTTTCTTGAGCAGCAAATCAGCATATTAGAATGATTTCTGAAGATCATGTGACACTGAAGACTGGAGTAATGATGCTGAAAATTCAGCTTTGACGTTAGAAGAATAAATTGCATTTTAAAATATATTACAATAGAAAACAGTTATTTTAAATTGGAAAACATTTTCACAGTATTGCAGTTTTTATTATATTTTTGATCAAATAAATGCAGCCTTGGTGAGCAGAAGAGACATTAGTGTATGTATTAAGTGTTTAGTTTCAAATTATATGTGGCAATCAAAAATGGCATTCTGCTTCATTATTAGAGGTTATGGATTATTAATGATCATGATTTATTAATGCATTTTTACAACGAATGAATTACTCCTCGATGGGGAATCAAAACTTATGGAACATGTTGTGGTAACACTTGCAGGTCATCCAAAAAAGCTGGCAAGGACGGTGAGAGAAGTTACCAGAAAGAGAAGAAGAAACGACGTCGCATTAAGGTTCAAGACTCCTCGTCCAGTGGCAAGGTACTGTACAGTACAGATCTATTTCAGCAAATAATACAGTAACCGTTGATATGAAGTGTGAAATGTGTTTGGTTTTTCTGTTCTACAGAGTGGAGGGGAAGAGGATGGAGAAGATGAAGGGGATGAGAAAGGAACACCCAAAGGTCGCAAGAAGATCCGCAAGATCCTTAAAGATGACAAACTGCGGACAGAGACCCGGGATGCCCTGAAGGAGGAAGAGGAGAGGAGGAAGCGCATTGCTGAGAGGGAGCGGTTAAGGGAGAAACTGCGAGAGGTACAAACCCAAGATGCAGATGTTTAGGGCTCAGCATAGTGAAACTGTTCTGCAGAATCATAGTTGGCATTTTGCAGAGAAAACTCAAAGTTGGTACTCTTTGGTTTCAGACTATTGTGGTGGAGGAGTCATCACAGGTCACATGTCCCATCACCACAAAGCTGGTGCTGGATGAGGACGAGGAGACCAAGGAAGCATTATTGCAGGTTCACAGGAACCTGGTGACCAAACTCAAACCCCATCAGGTGGATGGTGAGTCAGCAGTCGCCACTCCTTTTATGGCTGGCTTGCTTTTTATTTTATTTTATTTTTATTCAGTACCAGAAAAAAAACGATGCGTCACATTTTTAATGCTTTGGATTGAGTAACAGTTCAGTATTTGTGGCTCATAGTATGTCAATGAAAAGGGTTGCCTGAAGTAAATCAATGTTTAAAGTCGTCATCAAATCAAAATGGGTCCAGTTTCATTCATCATTCTTCAGTACCAGAAAAAAACCGATGCGTCACATTTTTAATGCTTTGGATTTGAGTAACAGTTCAGTATTTGTGGCTCATAGTATGTCAATGAAAAGGGTTGCCTGAAGTAAATCAATGTTTAAAGTCGTCATCAAATCAAAATGGGTCCAGTTTCATTCATCATAAAATAACTTTTAAAACTGATTTCTTGCTGATGTAACTAAGGCTACATGGGCCAAAAATTACATTAAAATGTCAATAAATAAATCTAAACAAATCTTCATGGCTCTTTTACCCAGAAATGGATGTTTGATGATGATTTGTTCTTTTGTTGTTTTGTCTTTCTCATTTTTCATGCATTGTTTTAGGTCATCATAGCCATGTCCTTTTCTAAATAGAGGACACATGGAAGAACACAGACGCTAAGTGATGGTTTTTGTGTTTTTTTCTGTTTGCAGGAGTGCAGTTCATGTGGGACTGCTGCTGTGAGTCAGTGAAGAAGGTGGAGAAGTCTTATGGCTCTGGCTGTATTCTGGCCCACTGCATGGGGCTGGGAAAAACTCTCCAGGTAACTGGAATAAATGATAACAATAATGATATGTGACCCTGGACCACAAAACCAGTTATAAGTCGCTGGGGTATATTTGTAGCAATAGCCAAAAATACATTGTATGGGTCAGAATTATTGATTTGCATTTTATGCCAAAAATCATTAGGATATTAAGTAAAGATCATATGTTTTTGCACCCTCAGATTCCTGATTTTCAAATAGTTGTATCTCGG